ATTTGGTTTTCTTGATTTATTAGCTTGATTTTTGTTGTGACGATGATACCTTGCTCTGATCATGTTCGTCATGTGACGTACGAAAGCTTAGCACCTTTTCACCGGAATCGAAGGAGATTGCCTCGGAAACAGCGTCAGCACGAATGTTCCAGTAAAGCCGTCGTCTTCTGGTGGAACCGACCTTGGAATCTCTTCACCCAACACTTTCACTCTAAATGGAAATGAGTTCAATAGTTTTCTTGACATGATTTCGGATTAATTTTACTATAAGAATGTATAAACGGTGAGGTCAGCGCGTCTCATAAAAAATTAGCACTTAATGTTGAAATATAGGCTTAGTTAAGATTTTCGTGGAATCCCTATTTATGAGTATCGTGTATGGTAGTAATGGAGGAGCAGTAAGACAAAGGGGACAAGAAGACAGCCTAAAAACAAGAGAGTCCTACCAGTTTTGCAAAGAGGGTTATCAGATGAGGCCCCTGGAACACCGTATTCATAAGAGTAAAACCGTCCACAGTTGCGACAAAATGGGAGATTTCGTCAGTATTTTGCAACCGCTGAAAAAGAGTGGAAATGACAGAAGATAATGTAAACATTTCTGGTTCAATTCCTCTGGATGCCAGCCACAAAAAAGACCTACTTTTGGCATAACATTCCACACCACGCCCTCAGGAAAGAGTCCCAAGTTGGCGCTGATGGCCTCTTTTCTATTTTTGTAAGGACCAGTCTTGCTTAGTCGGAGGCTTTCTCGCATGCAGAGGCCTGAAGGTAATGACTTGTAGACGATTCCTGCAAGACAAATGTTAATAAACGACGGTCAGTAGGAGACATAGAAGCTGAAGCGTTTATGCGTTTGCGGTTTAGCCAGTTCGTACGACAGTCTCTAAAGCTGATCACAGTGAAATTATGCGAAAATGATTATTGCATATACCTTTTTGCAATTCCAATGACATTATAATACAAATAAAAAATACAAATACAATATACATCGGTATCTATTTGTTTGCCTAGAAAACCTTTTAGGAGGTGAGGCTCAGTGTAGGATTCATATAGTGAGAAAACATTCAACTATTTATATGATTTGTGCTCGGTCTATTTCGTTTAAGGTGATGAAGAACCGGTAGTTAACAAGATAAACGGAGTTTGATATCAGGCGCAGGATTTTGCCTCCCTGTCGGCTTATGAAAAAGTTGGCTGAATTACTGAGGAAATGGGACATAAAAACAATGTATAAAGAGAAATCGACACTTTCTTCAGTTGTTTCTTTGTTAAGAGAATATCCACCCCCTCTTTCTGGATCAGGCTGTTACAATGTTTCGTGCTCATGTGGTAAGGTCGCAAGAGACTGTGCGAACACAAATAGCTTGTAAAGGTCTGTGGATCCAAAAATCTGTGCTCGTTGAACTCATTTCGGCAATGCAGGACACTCAATAGACTGGTCCAAAACACAGCGTTTTGCGGGTTACGAGGACGGTTACGTCAAAGCGAAAGATTAGGGCGGCTATAGAAATGATGAAAACAGCCAACGTCCTGAATAGGAAGAACGAGTGTAGAAAATTGGGTAGCAACCATTTATGGCTGTTGGATGGAATTCAGGAAAGGGAGAGAAAGTGGGTTCAGGAAGAGCCCATGAGTGAGAAAAGGAGACAGGAATAGCCTCAAGTCTAGCTAGGACTATCACACTTCCGATTACATGAGCATTACATACACACGATAGACACTAGTACAAGCCCAAATATGATTCAACCTTGGGCAAGCATGTCGAGTAAGGTAGAAGTAATATGAGATGTATTTA